ATTCACTGTACACTTCAACAGATTTATATGAAACTAAATGGAGTAATGTAGTAGAGTAACAGTGGTCTTTGACAGTGATTGATACAATAAATATGAAATGTAACAATAACACTTAATTGTATTGTTTGTGTATGAACTAATAGCACAGTTTATATTGGCTATTAAGTGTATGGTGCGACCATCACATATTATCTTAAACTTAAACTTATTATCTTAAAAATATCTCCAGTAAAACTTATTTTGTTGAATATCTCTCTCTAGTGAACACCTGTGTTTAGTGAACACCACTTCAAGACACATTTTACATTGACTCTTGAAAATGAATATTCTCTGTAGTGAACACCTACATACAGTGAACACTGTGGCTCCATATGTGTTCACTATATACAGGTTCTACTGTATATGTTCTTGAAAAATGGTTTTATGGAACAAAACTAAGATGTCAACATAATTATTGAGAGGACGAATAGGCGTAGTAATATTGGCTTTGTGAAACCTCTCCGTTTTTATTAAGTATTGCCACAGTAACTTGAATGAATCGTGAGCGAGACTTGTTCGCTGTACCTATTTTACTTGAAAATTTTAATACCGATGACTATTCTTAAGGTGCAAATCGCAAAGATGAAATGTCTTCTCTTCGTACTTTCCTAGACTAAAAAGTATCGCTGTTGCAGTCACAAATATTGGATATATCTCCAGACATCCTATATATTTTGTCTCATGGCCATTGCTGATTACAGTATTCGCTTTTCACATTTTGTCTAGCTACAAGCCTCTGTGACCCTCCCCCCTCCACTACTTGACAACACAGGTATGAAAACAAACTTTACATCCGGCTGTAAAGTTACGTTAAACCAGTGTATTCCTTCAATGATATGAAAAACATCTATTGAAAAAATTCAGGTGTGATGGACGTCAACTTATCAACAGTCGTGGAAAAACGTAGGAAATCTTAAAATATTGATTTGTCTTTCACTTGAATATTTTAAAAATCTGCAACTATTCGCCAACGAGACCCCTTCCCCTAACGGAACTAACGCATGCGCACTTCTATTTAGAGCTCAATTAACAGCTTTGTAGATTTCTTGCTACTCGCTGAAAACACATCTTCGCACGCTCCGGTCTTCACTACGTTCATCATTCGACCGACGGGAGCCGAGTGAACGAAGATGCTGAAAACAAGAGAAAATAGTTTGGACAAATATTATACTCGTTTCAAAATGTCAACGGAACGCCATTATTCAATAAAGATGAATGAGAATATAAAACTTTTTTTATCTTTCAATCTATCTTTATTTCAATTCAAAATATGTTTTACAGTGCAAATCTACATAATTGCATTAAAATGATGCATTTTAATTTCTTGTGTATCCTAACAATAGTTAACAAATATGATATACCACATTTCATTAAGCCATTCATTAAAATGTTTGTAGTCAATGTTTCGTATTTTATATCCAAAAATCAATGTTTTAATATCTGTTAAAACTATTGTGATTTTAAAATGATTAAAAATGTACTCTTCTAATTGTTTTAGCATTCTGTTTACTCTTTTACAATCTAAGAATAAATGTTGATAATTTTCAACTACGTTACATAAATCACAGTTTTCAGTTTGACTTATTTGCCATCTTTTAAGTAAGTGTAGCGAACCCGGGTTGATAATACAATGTCTGGAGACAAGTCTAGTCAAAAGTGTCCAAGTCCAAAATTATTTTAAGTGCAAATTTTTCCAAGTCCAAAAATTTATGAGTGAAAAATATTTTTGGGACTATTTTTGGAAATTATTGAAATTTTGGAAAATTATGAAAATTTAGAAAATTTGGGAAAAATTGGAAATTTTGGGAAAAATTGGAAATTTTGATAAATTATAAAATTTTGGAAAAATTAATGAAAATTTTGGAAAAATTGTGAAAACTGAAAATTTTGGAAAAATTGAAATTTTATGAAAAAGTTGAAAATTTGGGAAGTTTTGGTAAAAATTGAAAATTTATGAAAAAGTTGAAAATTTGGGAAGTTTTGGGAAAAATTTAAAATTTATGAAAAAGTTGAAAATTTGGGAAGTTTTTGAGAAATAGGGAAAAATTGGAAATTTGAGGTTTTATCGAAATTTCTTAAGTTTTGATGGACTTGATTTTCTAGTACTATCAATTAATGGTCAATGTTTTTACAGTTTTTTACCAACTTCACTTTAGCGGCACTTCGCTTTTACACTAATTGAACACGACAAAGTGATTTCTAAGAACGTATATACAAAACTACTTTATTTCTATAAAAATAACAACATTTTTAATACTGCGTAAAAAGTAAGCATCAAGTTTCTTTTCTTTCTCTGAGATTGCAACAATATAACTTAGTTTTAATGGATGGAATGTAATCTTCAACTCACTATTGCAATAATACTGTGACTACTTTTGTCAACTTTTGACAATATCAGAATACTATGTTGGCTCTGTATATAAATACTGTGACTTAATACAACCTAATCAACCTTATTACTGTACTTATACTGCGAAAGGTCTTGAATTTGAGTTTGCTCATAAAGGCGATAACTCTAGCACTTTGGTTATAAAATATAATATCTAATATAATATTTACAAGTATAAAAATATAAATCTTTGAATGAGCACGTGGTATGTAATGGCTATTGTATGGGAGAAATCGGGCGATTGCACGATTGAAGAAAGAATATTTTGTCCCACGACACAATTAAGGTAAGGAGACGCGGTTGTTAATAATGACGGCTAGTTAAAGCAAGCATTAGGTTTGACCAAAATGGGGGGGGGGGGTCACACCGGCTGGCTAAGGCAAGTGTGATGGTTTTTGGCAATTTTTGGCAAGTTTTACGGCAGAGGATAACCCACTTTAGGCAAGATTTATGGCATAAAATATGGTTAATAAGTAAAATATACAAGTAAACTCTAAATCTAATACATATATTGTGAGTTAAGACCAACAGGCTTTGAGTTTTGAGGTTTTAAAATCTTTCATAAGATTTGGAGTTTTGACAAGATGGCTACCTTGTCATGTTTAAGCCTTATGACCTACTTAGTTTTTTTTGGTCTTCTTTAAGAGAAAGTTTTTGTTTATAAGTTTATTTAAGCTTCACAAAATTATCATTAATGGTAAAGCTAACTTTTATTAAAGTTTCAGACTCTGATCTCACTTGAAAATACTAAAATTCCTAAGTTAAAAAATTCCAATTTCGAAAGCACATGAACAAAGGACAATGGCGAATTTCAAAATGGACAGCTTCTTCCCCAAATTATGTGACAAAGTTTTTGGCAGATATTTTCCGAAATACTTATCAGAAAGTTTTGCAAAATAGTTCAAAATTTTGCATTTAATTTAGGTCACAATAATTTTTATAGTCCCTTCAACAACAGGTACTATAAAGGGGGGATTGAGTTTTTTCAAATGAAGAAACTTTACTAAAGTTTTTAGAAATCAAACTTTCTGAAGGCAAAGTTTTGAACTCTGATTTTTCACATGAATCTGAATTTCAATGAAACATATTTACCTCACTCATGTTGCAAACGTATCTTCTCAACAGCGAAAGTTGTTTTCGATGATGGATGGCACGAAATAAGAATGATATTATGCGATTTAAATGCGGCTGGATTATCAGTCAGGCCTTCTTCTCCAAATTCAGTAATAGTAATAAAGTAGGTCAACCATGACACACCACATGTTTAAAATTTATGTAACTTTAAATTACAAATAAACTTGTTACCTGAACATGTAAAGACACATAAATATAACAAGGAAGCTGGTACTATGAATATACATGGATATTAATCTTTAAAACCCATAAATGTGAGTAAAAACACATATTTCTAATGTCTGCATGTAATTAATATGGGGCGTGTCATGTGACACTTCTGAAAATTATTCCTTGAGTTCTAAGTACAAAATAAATTGCACAATTACATATTAAATATACCATGAAATAGCTACAAACATGAGGCGGAACATACATACATATAAAATACATAAAAAGAACAAACTGTCATACCTGAAAATGTGTAAAAAATACAAAAATATTTTCCCTGGTTTTTTACACCATCCCCTCTTTTGAGGAAATGTCCGTCCCGGACATTGTCACTTTAAAGCATATATAACACAATGTTCACTAAAATATATAAAGTCCTACTGCTGGCTCTTCAGATCTGAGATGCACTTTTCTTTGAGTAATCCACTGGTATGAGTTGTTGTCCATTTGGCATAAAATATGCCACAAGATCAATACGTTTGATGATTGGTTTGGCGATGAAGTCTTGAATATCATATTGCGTGGTATTGTCCTTGCTTCTCGAATGTGCTTGGGAGTAATTGTTTATTACTAATGTGTTAGTAGTTGTGGTTGTATAAAGTGTTGGTTTGGGTGCACTTAAAGTTGTTGATTTGTATGAGACATCTTTGGTTTTATCTTCCTTGTTTGTAGTCCATGGTTGGAGTTGAACGATCGCAGTACTTTCCTCTTGTGTGTCCTCTAAAGCATATAGTTCTGTAGGGGTATCACTCACATATCCACACTCTTTTATATAACACACCTATAGTGTATTCACTCATTGAATCAAGGCTATACCAGTGTATATCCCAATGATATACAACTCACTTCAAATAAAGGAATTTCTGCATTTCGGGATATGAAAATCACATATAGGTATGGTACATATTGGTTATTATCCTACACTTAGTCTACTAAATGTATAATAACATTAAAAAATAAATTTGATATTTATTGGCAAAATGAATATCCGGAGGAGATTAAAATGATATTCTGAAAAAAATCATAGGATGTTCTTATTATCCTACACTTACAAGGAGTGTACTGAATGTATAATATTCAATTAAAAAATTGAAATTGGTCAATTTTCGTGGACTTAAATGTTCAGGTTGTGGCTGACAGAAAACTGACAATACAGTTGCTTTGTGATTGTAATTTCTTTCTATCTAATCCCAATGTAAACAATTATGTATCTTTTGCATTTTTCTAGGAAATCACCACTGTAGGCAAAGAATTGGGAATTTCTCCTAAAATCGTACAAGGGGAAGACCTTGACAAGCAAGGATTTGGAGGTAAATGTTGTGAAATGAAATAGCATAATCAGCAGTCACAAATTGTAAACATGCACAAACAAGAAAAAACTGTGTTATTCTCAACATATCATACAACAAAATGTGTATGACGTGTTCTTGGTGAATATTGGTGGTAGTATCCCTTTAGTTTGATCCTTTGAAAGAATATGAGTATTTGGCTCTTACAGAAACATCCACCATGCTATGCATGTCCCTTGTATTAGTTCATCATCACATCGGAATGATTTGTATGTATTTTTCCACTAGGACTGTATGGGGTCGGAAAGTGTGCCGTCCACAAGCCAGCACTTGCTGTCCTTAGCCATACACCAGAGGGCGCTAGTAGGACTATAGCATGGGTCGGAAAAGGCATCGTCTATGACACAGGCGGTCTCTCCATCAAAGGCAAAGTAAGCATACTAAATACCATCTTCTAGCAGATAACCAAAACCTGTATGTCTTAAATAGTACAATGGTTTCCCTTTTACAATACTGCATCCAATAGTAATCAGTTATGTTATATCAGATTGTGTCAATTCCAATGTGTTATTTAGTGTAAAACTAGATGCCAATGTTTCATTTCCACATTGAATTCAATGTCTTTTATTCTATTATTGTAATTGTTTTTGTGATGTATTGTACGAATACATACACTATATTCTAATATTTACTGTATACTGCTTTGTATTGTATACTTTTGTGGATTTCATATTGTAAACTATTGTGTATTGAATACTTTGATGTAATTTACACTATAGTCTATTCATTATAAACTATTGTTTATTGTGTACTATGCTGAATTGACTACAGTCTTATATTTTTAACTATTGTGTATTGTACACTTATTGTAGACTGCCATGCCTGGGATGAAGAGGGACTGTGGTGGAGCACTAGGAGCTTTCTACTCAGCAGTTAAACAGGTAAGCCCAGGGACATGGGATACTGTAGATTGGTACTAATAAATTTGGCGATTTTGTGATTTTTGGCATATTGGTGGCTATTTGATTTGGCAGACACTAAGTTCTGGTTTTACAGACCAAATCCATGCTGTGTACTATTATTTCAGGGTTTTACAGAGAACCTTCATACAGTGTACTGTTATTTTAGGGTTTTACAGAGAACCTCCATACAGTGTACTTTTATTTCAGGGATTTACAGACAATCTCCACGCAGTGTACTTTTATTTCAGGGGTTTACAGACAATCTCCACACTGTGTACTATTATTTCAGGGTTTTACAGACAATCTCCACACTGTGTACTATTATTTCAGGGTTTTACAGACAATCTCCACACTGTGTACTTTATTTCAGGGTTTTACAGACAATCTCCACGCAGTGTTTTGTCTGGCAGAAAATGCAGTTGGTTCGGTCGCAACAAGACCTGATGACATTCTAAAGCTATACTCTGGGAGGTAAGTCTCACAGCTCTATAAAAAATATTTCACAATGATTGACTGGAAATAGTATTATTGGGCATGAAATCATAAAATAATATAACAATTGAACTTGGGTATGCAACTTCAGGTAGGTAAAAACAGCAGAAACATGTGACCACTTGATTGTTAAGATTTTTGATCAATATTTGTATGAAATTAAAATTTGAAATTAGGAAGTAAAAGGCATTAACAGCACAAAACGTCACCACCTGCTTGCAATTGCAAGCTAAGCCATTAATACAGACAATGGTGCTTAATATCTACACCAGTCATTAAAAAATGGTGACTTTTAATATCGCATCACTTCTTGGTGTTGAAATTAAAAGTTTATTTGTAATAATTTTCAGGACAGTTGAGGTAAATAACACTGATGCTGAAGGCAGGCTTGTGTTGGGGGATGGTGTGGCATATGCTGACAAAGACTTGAAGGCAGATGTCATACTAGATATGGCCACCTTAACTGGTGCTCAGGGTATAGCAACAGGTAAGATATTCTGAAAATGCAGTGGCCATATTTATTATTAAACATATTTTATTCCTCTATATATTACATTACATACATTTTATTGATACAGTTTAACGAAACGGATTGGACAAAAGGCTTTCGCCTATTCTTAAGTCCTCTCCCTAAGTTGTCCCAGAAAATTGTTACAGTTTTATTTATTTGTGCAGGATGGGAGGCTTGGCCATATAGAGTAGGACAAACAATTTCAGTTAGTGTTAGCTTATATCCAGTAGAATTTTAGGGAGATAAGTTGGTAGGATATATCCTGTATCCTGATTTTGAGGTTTCCATATCCAGAGCCTCTATATCTCCCGCCATATCTCCTGGTTCGGGGCATATCTTCTCACTTCCAATAACTGAAAAAATGAAGAAAAAAAATTGAATTTTTTTTAGAAATTTCTACTTTGTTTAGGATATTTAAGCAGTGATGTACAGTCAGTTTGGAAATGGGGTTTGTCCTTTGGGAGATTTGCATATCTCCCTCTGGATAAACCCCATACCCAAAACCTCCCAGTATGTAACCTTAATATATCTGAGATTGTTTGCCTTATCCTATGTTGCTCTTGAAGAAAAGAGTTGAGCGCTAGATTAAAATTATCAATACTCAATAAAGTAATTGTGATGTAATTCAGTTTAAAGCACAATTACTTTTTCCATTATGCCCCAAAATGATAGCTAATCCCTGTTTTACCAACTGCATTGTTTTTCAGTTTAAAAACCCCAAAATTGTCCCTCTAGAAAACTCAAAATATATTTTTTCGTACTTTTGACTCCTTTAGATATTATCTACCACACAAAAAATATTCTTGATTAAGGAAAACCATATTAGTGCCATGCATCTGTGATATATCTTAGTAAATGCCATGCATCTGTGATGTTTTGGTAAATGCCCCTGTATATGTGGTATGTCTTGGTAAATGTCAAGCATATTTGATATGTCTTGGTAAATGTCAAGCATATTTGATATGTCTTAATAAATGTCAGGCATATTTGATATGTCTTGGTAAATGTCATGCATCTTTGATATGTCTTGGTAAATGCCATGCATCTGTGATGTTTTGGTAAATGCCCCTGTATATGTGGTATGTCTTGGTAAATGTCAAGCATATTTGATATGTCTTGGTAAATGTCAAGCATATTTGATATGTCTTAATAAATGTCAGGCATATTTGATATGTCTTGGTAAATGTCATGCATCTTTGATATGTCTTGGTAAATGTCATGCACTGTGCTATGTCTTGCTAAATACCATGCATCTGTGATATTTCTAGGTAAATACCATGCGTCTGTGATATTTCTAGGTAAATACCATGCATCTGTGATAACAAACAATGAGAACTGGGAGCCTGGGTGTGTCAAGGCAGGCCAGAACTCTGGAGACCTGTGCCATCCCATGATTTACTGTCCAGAGGTCCATTTTGCAGAGTTCTCCAGTGCAGTAGCTGATATGAAAAATTCCGTCGCTGTATGTTTTAAAGTTTCATTATTTTTCATTTGCATATTATTCGTTCTTGTACAATGAATTGTATCGTCTTGTGTCATATTTTTTTTGAAGTTGATTCATTCATTTGAAGTAAAATGTTGCAGATTTTTGAAAGTGTACTAGTCTAAAGGATTTCAGCCCATGAATTGTAGGATGATTGAACAACATTTGTGTTGTTTCCAGACTTTGAATGAGTGTGACAGCATGAATTCAAAGTCTAGGAAACAACACATGAGTGGATTAAATCATCCATAATTCATTGAGTCATGGGCTTAAATTCTTTTCCCAAATTGCAAAAGATTCTGGACAGTACCTATCGATTGAAATGTTAAGCAGCGTCGCTGTTACAATGTAATTAGGAAAGCAGGGGAACTCTAACTTGTCTGCTTTTAACATTTGCCTTTTTGTTTCTTTCATTTTGCCAAACACATTTATGGGCTTAGATCTATTTTTTCATTGTCTCAAAGTAGACCAAAAACAGCATATAAGCTGATAAACTTGGCATGAGTAACTTGACAACCGGATCTAGAGTACAGATTAGAAATACTGATTATTCATGAACATACTGGATTACAATGAATATGTTTCTATGTTTTAGGATAGAAGTAATGCCCAAGTGTCCTGTGCAGGGATGTTCATAGCAGCACATTTAGGATTTGACTTTCCAGGGACTTGGATTCATGTAGATATGGCATACCCTGTACACAGTGTAAGTAATTAGGGGGAGGGCAGTAGAGAAGAGAGTGTAAAATTTTTAATAATTTTTTAAACATTAACTTATCCCCTCTGATCTCAACTGAAAAAATCTGAAAAAAGGTTTCAGGTGTGGAAATAAATATATTGTTTGAAATTGAAAAGTAAATGATTTTAAGAGAAATACCTAATTCTTTGCCTACCATGGTGAATTATTGCCCCAAAAGCCTAAATCTTGACATGTTCTTGAAATGAAGTCAGAACTTTTGGTCTTTTCTAAATAGATATGACAGGAGCTGCAACCAAAAAATTGTAAAATGGTGTCATTTTTTTTTATTTATTAATGTGCCCTAAACTGCTTTACTTTTTAACTTAATTTCCTGGCACAAACTGTCATGCATTCTATTGAAATACATTTCATAATGATCGTCCCCCCATCCACCACCAATCCTAAATAGCAGACGCACATATGTTATACATCATATGAAAGCTTAATTGTTCAATTCTGGACTCATTGAAACAACTTTGATTAAGCTCAACAGTTTTTACAACTTGCTACATATTTCTACAAAGGGTTCCCATTTTACCTTTAGCATAGAATCTGAAAGCCACATTTTCCAAAATTGGCCATTTGTCCTGCAAAAAGATATGATAACCATGCCTCAATTCACTAATATATATAGTAATGTTCACTTCTAACATTTGATGGATGCTGAGGATATATCTTAATATTATTTGAAAGACAAAAGTATTAAATATTTCAAAGAAATGACCAGAGAGCACTAGATGATACTATGAGGTTATATAATGGTTCTTTCTGTATATCGTGTTTATACTCGAGTGAGTATATGATATATTCACAAGTGAGCGTAGCGAACGAGTGAATATATTATATTCTCACGAGAGTATAAAATGCACGATATACAGAATGAACCATTATATAATCTTATTATGCCACTCTAAGTTCAATTACAGTTGATTCGAACACAATCATAACAATTAAAAACCATAAAAATATCCCATAGCCAACTACTGATGTTGATCTCGAACCATTTATGACGTGGCTTGATCCTAGCAAATCATGCCGGAACCATTTATGACGTCACTTGATTCTAGGAAATCATGAAAATTTTCATGATTTTTTTATTCATTAGTTCCCAGAATGCACTTCTACAGTGGTATACGCTGGAGTGTATACGGAGGAGTTGTATACGATGACGATATACCACTCTACACTGTATATCGTTGTTATAGACCCATGTTATACAACTGTAATTGGACTTAGAGTGGTAT